CATATAGAATTAAAATCTCATAGAATAATGTTCTTAAAAAGCAGTTTTGACACATGGAATATACTGCATTTAAATTTTGTGCAAAATTTTCATAAATATATATTACAATAATTAAATACCTCAGCCTACTTTAGAATTATTACTACTGTACTTGTCATGAATTTACTACAAATTGAGAGAAAAAGAAGGCTCATTTAATGTAGTACATGGTTTAATGTAGTACATTGTAACATGCAAGTACAAAAATAAATGAACAAGGAGTGTAGATATGACAACTAAAAACTTATCAATGCAGCAAAGAATTATATAGAATTAGGACTTGCGACTAATGAAATTGATTTTTTATAACTGCCATTGCTATGAAACAATTGCCATGAAGGTATTGTAGGTCAAATTTAAAAACTATTTTGCATGTTGTATAGTTCCCATAATGCTATAATGCTAGCTAGCATAATAGCATTATTCCAGCTTGTTAAGTACTCCTCCAGTAAAAATTGTTTTCACACACACACTTACCTACCATGTAAGTTCTGTCGTTCATTTCAGGATAACTGATAGTTACATAAAAAAATAAACCATAATTTTAAAAATATAACTTAATACATATTTAGTGTAGTTATCTATCAATATTTATGTTGTAATAAGCTTATTGCAAAATACAACTAAATACATGAAAGTAAAACTAATGGTGTTAGCAAAAGTACATACAATATGAAAAATTTTAAATACATGGTAGATGAAAGGTAGATACATCATGCAATGTCTGGTTATTAATAACAAAAGTAATGATTGCCAGTAATTGCAATGGTAACTTTATTGCCATCTGTGCTCAGGCAATATCAATGCTATATTATTAATGGTCCTTCGTTGAATCTGATGCCTTAATGAATCTAAAATCAAGCGTTTATTTGAGACATAATGACAAAATACATTTTACAGTCAGAGACATGGGCATGTGAAAATTACTTACTCAGCAACCATTAACACAATCTTTTAATAAATACGGCAATGTCCATAGAACAAACTGTTTCTTGATTATGAGATGTTCATTGAACTAAAAGAGAGAGAAACAGATGATAATTTGACTTGTACCAGTTGTAACTCTAGTTGTACAAGTGCATTCAAAAAATTAAATTGATTATGTTAAAACGTGTGCATCCATTATACCATTAACAGAAAAGGCAACTTCTTTATTTAAATCCTGAGATAGAGAATGCGCTTTTACTTTTACTCTTCGATACTCTATTTGCACAAGTAGGACCTTTAAACAAATTAATTCTAATAAAACAATAATCAATGAACAAATACCATAAGCAGTTTTCACACTTAAAATACAGATCCACCTTTAATCTAGTGCCAGTAACACATTTATAAAAAATTAATGAACAAATAAATCAAGAAATAATAATAACAATAACAGAAGAAGCAATCTATACACTAAGGTCCTTATCAGCATATACACTTTAACTTTTTGTGTAGGAGAAACGCTAAACAAAATGATAACGTTAAAATAGTAATAAATTGATATGAACAAGCATATGCCCCACCATCA